ATCCCCTGAATTATGGCCGCGCTGGAATTTGATACGTCGAACTCGGTTTGCTCGCCGGACGGTCTGGCTGAAATTCAAATGGCGCGTCACGCCACTTCTTGCGCCACGCCGACCAGAACTAATCGAATTAATCACTCAGCGGGAACAAATTATCGCAGCCCCTCTCTCCGTGTTTGCTTTTTTCTCCGAAGAGACGACGGTCCCTTTTTCGTCCAGGTACAAGGGACGAAATTCCTGCGGTCGTTTGATTGCCTAAATGGATTTGAGCCCGGCCAAATCAGGCCGCTTGTTTGCGGCCGCGGCGATTTTTGATTGATCGATGAGCTGAGCGAAAATTGTGATTCGGGAACTTTTTTGCTGTCGGATGATGGAAATTACCAGCACTACTTTTTTCAACGCGTCACATTCATGAAAATTGCGCTGTGCAGCTTTTTTACTCCACACCGTCTGCTCTTGACACTCATCAGCTCTTTTGTATCAAATTTTGATGGGATGGTTTTTGTGTGTTTTATTACATGACATCTTTCTTTTACAACTAAAAACAGTTTTTCTGTTATAAAAAATATTATATCTATAATATTTTTTTTTTTTATATATAAAGGATAAAAAAAAACTAAAGAGCAAAAATGCCTGATCTTTTTGTTTAAATTTTGTTTACCTTGTTCACATTTTATTGCCAAGGGAAAAAATATGCAGAATTTTTACTTCTGTTTGAATAAATAAACCATTTGTTATTGTTTATTCTACACTAGAAAGTAATGAAAAAAATTAAAGAAAAAAATTAGCCGGAAATTATCACAACTTGTAAAGGTTTGCTAAAAAGCCCGAATAAAAATAAAACACATCTGAAGCCATTAATATATTTATTTTTCAGCCATTTTTTTTTTAAATTTAAACAACGGGGTTGCTAATCTTACATTGGGACACTTTCCAAGACAGAATATTGAAAAAAAAATTGAAAAATAGAAGGTTTTCTAATTTTCAATTTTGCTGATCCTTTCATATTTTTTCTCCTTCTCACAAACCTCAATTAAATTTGGTAGTGCAATTTGCAATTTTACCAGTAAAAAAAGAAACATTTTAAACGAGAGATCTGCTGTTAAAAATAAAATTTGAAATAGAATACCTTGGACATACATTAAACAACAAAACGAGCAGCAAATATTTTCTATAAAATTTTTTTCTTGAAGTTATAATGAAAAATTTATTCCTTCAATAGATGCTTTTTATTCCTCTAATGACTAAGTATTTAAAGTTTTAAAATATTTCACTTACTATAATATTATAAGGCACTCATGGTGAGCGATTGTACATCTTTCGCAACACGCATACAATGCAAATTATTGAGCACAAAATCACAACAATGATCCACAGAAAGTTGGTGATCCAGAATGCAAACATGTAGACGGAGGGATTGCAATAATCCTTGTCGGTGAGGTTGAAGCTTGGCTTGTAGTGACCGTAGATCCAAGACGAGCCGAGCACCAACCAAACAATCATGAATATATAAAGAGTGTTCAAGAGGTCTTTGTCATCAAACCAAACAAACCACTTTTCAAACAGCAGAAAAAGCACTGCTATTCCTATTTCAAGAAACATTAGTTTAATTTTTGCAATTAAATTTGTCAAAATTCAGACCTCCGATGATCAGGTAAATCAGGATATTTGGTTCTGCTGGACACTCGCCGTAAAAAATGGACCCCATTACAATCGAAGCAATTGAGAAAACTACGGGCCCGACCCAACACGCAAGGACTGTATAAAAAAACTTGTAAGATTTGATATAAAATTTTTCCCTCTGTACCAGTTACATCCACACAGTCCAAATTGGTAGCATTGAAAATACCAGAATTCCGTTGGAATGTCTGCAGCTCTTCATGTTCCAAAAGACAATCATGACTTGATCTTAAAGCTGTTTTAGCACGAACAAAAAAGGAAAATATTTTCAATAAATATGGATCATACCACCAGTTGGATGATGAAGAGCCCCTCCACGCATTGCCGGTTGAGGCGAGTTTGCTAGGTTTTCTGATTCATTCATTATCAGGCGTGAGCAAATTTTTTCTATAGCATCAAATGTCAGTGTTTGTTGGAACATAGTCAAAGCAGGAGTCACTAAATCATCATGGGTCTCCTAACACACAAATTTAAATAGAAATTAAGTTTTTTAGTATTTAAAATCTATAATTTATATAATATGGTATAAAATCGTACAATTACAGTGACCACTGACGTCACATCATTGAGGTGGCTGCTTCGTTCTTGCTGGCTGGTACTTGACATTGCCTGCAAAATAAATATCAACAAAAAATGTTAAAACCCATATAAAATGAATAAAATAAAAAATATTTATTGCCCACGAAGGTATAAAATATCTGCAATAATTTAAATAATATATAATTATATGAAAATTCCTATTCTAAATAATGTTCTTAATCTTAAGTTTCTTGCATTACATCGAACAATAATCGGTAAATGATAAAATAAAATGTAAGACTTTTCTTTGATTTACATTTAGTTGTAACAGGTCAAATTACATTACCTATAAAGATTCTCCAATAAATTTTTTTTTAAAGGTGACCACTTGATCTGTGAAACAAAATTGATAAAATCTAGTTTATAAATTTTCATATTTGATAAAAAAAAATTAAAGTATTAATAATCAAAATATAAATTATTTCTTTTAAGGTTATTAGCCGCTGTTATACTATATATGAAACCTGAATCACTCATATCACCTCGATGGTATTGGTTGCAGCACGCCTGGAGAGGATGTGGATCAAAGATTTACCAACGGTTGATCATCTGTGAACTAAATGAAACTTTGGTTTTATCGCTCTGCTCTATTTATTGTGCGGCACTGATGCGTCGCCCTCTCTATCTTGAGGGGAAATACAGAATGAGTGTGATAGAACATGCAAATAATATAATAATCTTATTCATTGATTTACTCTATAGTAATAGTTGACCCCTCACTCAGTCAAGTCCAAAAGTGAATAGCTTATTTTGAAATTTGAAAGTAAACACATTGGACAAATCACTCGATCTTGACTTTACAATTAGTGGTAATTTAAAACGAGCTCCATATATGTTGCATGAATGTTGATATAAATATTATTGTTTCAATCCTAAATATAAACATAATTCTCAGAGGAAATGTGCAATGCGCAATAATAATATTTTGTTATGCAGTGAATAATTTTCATACAATTTGTCATTAATTATGAAAAACTCTAGTTACATACTGATATTGATATTCCAGTAAAACTAAAGAGTGCCATTGATTCACCACTCTGTGACCCAAAAGTAAAGTATTCTAATTTTTACAAAATTGTCCATTTACGTTATATATAGTTGAAAATATAAATAAACAATACTTCTTTTAGGGTGTTATTAACATTTATTTATATTTGTATCAAACCCCGCTATGTCAACCTTGGTTACTTTGTTGAATAAAGAATGTTCCATTTTTGTAATTTTGACCGGTCGAACGGAACCTGAAGCCCAAAATCCAATTTCCGCGTCCCCTTTTGCTGGCCCCCCTGCCGTTGCCATGAAAGTTATAAATTTTGCAAACCGGCGGCGGAGTTAACGGGCGCACATAAAACACAAACTGCCTTTGATCGGTGCGCGGCGCGAATGTATTCGGGGAAAAAAGGTCCAACACTTGATGCCCAATCGTCCGGAAAGCTTGTTGCTTTTTTCACAAAGAGCAACAAATTTAACTTGCGCGCCAACGCGCACAAACAAAACGGTGCTGCGATAAATTGGTTCGCACTTCCTGCTGCTTGCTGGTAAATATAGAAAGTGGGACTTGCCAGAAATGAAATCGACTGAAGGGATACTCAGTTTAATCAATATTTTTCGGTACAAAATTTGAACAAAAACTACGTATTTAAATGATTTATTGATTTTCATTACAGAAAATACAAACTCTTCAAACAGAGATGAAAATTGAGCTAAAATAAAATAATTGACTGTCAATTTTTCATAGCTCTATATACGCTATGCACTTTTTTTTTTCTAAAAACCAATTTTTTTCTAGTTTTATTTAAAATTAAACAAATTAATTGCTAAATTTTTGATGCATATTAATAATTTTTCTTTTTCATTTTTTAACAATTTTTATGAGACAAAGAAAATTGTTTTCAAGTAAAAATCAAGATTTGCTGGAATTCTTAATTATATTATAGCGAAAAGTGGTACATGGCTGAATTTTACGCAATTACAGTTGTGGTTTCACCTAATTGTAAGAATCGATTGAAGAGTCATGTAAATTTAGATTTTTTAACTCTTACTTTTGATGTGTAATATAAGCAGGATTTTTAAAGTAACACATTTATATCACACAACGTCGAAATATTTTATTCCTGACAATTTTAAGGAATTTTTTATAAATGAAAAAAATCACAATTAATCGAATTTACATTGCTATCATTAATTCCAAAATATTTTCTGCACTTTTGTTAATCATAAAATTGTGTTTTGAAAGAAAATTAAAATTTAATTGGAGAATAAGTAAACCTTCTCTTTTAAATCAATTAATCAGTTTTGTGTTGATTGGAGACTTTTAAAAATATTTTATAATTTATACTTAGGATTCGTGAAAATCTCACTCAGAGAAGAATTGACTAGGACAAAAAGTTGATTTATCTGACCACATTCATCCTACAGAATGATTTATTTTCTCGCAATCATGCAAGTCAGACCGGAATCATCATTACTTCCAGGGAGTTTGTTTCTTTTTCTAGCCGTTCCTTATCTCCAGAGACGACCATTTTCGTCGGGTCGTGTGTGCAAGGACAGCTTTTTCTGCTCTCGGGTTATCTGGCTGGAACTTTTTCCATAAGCCTTATACGCCGTCGTTCTTTCTTTTATTAAAAATTTTACGATCTGTTGCGAGAGACGCGCTCATTTTCACGTTGCACGTTGTTTAAACATCAAGCTCTATTTTTTCTTTTTCATCCCTGACGGTGCATCTTTCGTTTTTTTGCCGGCAGGACGTGGAGGAGCTGTACCGACTGGCCGCGGAGATCGTCGCCAAAACCAAGCACTGACACCTTTGGTGAGTAAAAGACCGATCGCCAGCATAATCACCCTTTTTGTTTATATCCCCTTAAGTGAGCCCTGCCGTTTTACGGCGCGCCTGAAACATAAATATTTAATACCAGTCAAGAGACCGTTCGATCTTTCTCTCCATCTGAAATAGAAACATTATTTCCCGGCCGCTCTCACACGTGAAATTACGGCGGCTTAATTTTACGGCGACGTCGCGCGCTGCAATCGTGATTGAAAGGAGATGAGTTTCCACCGCCGCCTCATCACTTATTGATGCTGTCGGCTTATTATGAGCACAGGCGACCCTCCACCTCCTTCTTTTTATACTCATTCAGTCACGAAAGGAAGGCCTTTTTATTTCCTTTCCGAGTGGCATTTTTTTCTTCTTCATAGATCGATTTCCGCGAAACCAAATTTCCGTCAATACTTTTTGACAACAGGAATCTCGGAAGGAAAAAATTTGCGGAAATTGTTTTGATCTCTATTTTGTTGAAGGAAACAAAGTGAAATGCAATTGGTTTTTTGTGCACGCTGGATGAATCTATACCATTGCTTCATAATTTGCCTTTTATATGGAACAAGAATAGGGAATTTTTTCGTTTCATTTTTCCTTTGTTTTACAATGAGATAAAAATCTATCCATAGTTTGCGCCAACTTATCATGTTCTATTGACCTAAATGACTGAGGCAAGGGAGATAATAAGATCAGGCTTCATGCTTTTAGTATTTAACTTTATGTTAAAATAACCAAGTTTTGAGCTACAAAATTCAAAATTCAGGTGGATGGCTAAATTAAATATTAATTAAAAAAATTCTGAACGTTACTTTTTTTTATTGATTTCATATTGATTTTCATATTAAACAGATGCCTATTTATTTTGTAAAATCCTCTGCACTACAAAAACCAAATAGAAAAACTCGATTGAAAAACCAAAATTTGCAAAGAAAAAAATAACTATATTTTCAGAACACATTTCAAAAACTATAATTACTTTAATGTCATTTTTACTATTCCTTATTCTTACAATGTCTTTTTGAGAATAAAAAGATCACCATTGGGGTTTACAAGTTTTTGTCCATTCGAGCCATTAGCCGACTGCTTGAGTACCTGGGAAGCCGTTTCAAAATGGGGGAAATGGCCACCATCGTTCTCAAGCTCTTAACTCTGCTCGCAGCAATAGACGAAATTTATGCCTTGCAATGATTTATGTAAGTGGAGCCGCCGCTCCTCTCGTCATCATTTTTTGCCGGCGATTCTTCAGCGGGTCACTGCAATTTTCCCCGTTTTATTACGAGGGCGCGGACCGGCTTCTCTCTCCTCGCATTCTCTTTTCGCGTCTGTCCCACAGGCAGGAAATTTGTCTTGCAAACTTGGCCTGACACGCCGGCTTTCTTTTCAACTTGCCGCCTGCGTGCAATTTTTGGCGGCGAATGGAAAATTCGCGCGAGAGGAAATCGCTGTTATTAGTTTCGTCAGTCAAGCAACCCTTGCTCTCTCTCACACTTCTGACAGCCCTCTTTCGCGCCCCAATATTACGCAGGAGCTGCTCAGACCGGAACAACTTTCTCGTCCAAGTGCACCGTCGATCTTGACGCAGAGAGAAAGATCGGCGGGGGACGTTTCAATTATCAATTCCGACCCTCCTGCCGGCAACTTATTTCATTTACAAATTCCTCTCAAGTTTTGGAGTTTGCCCGGAGCTGCTTTGTCAGACGACGTTTCATAGTTTGTCGCCAGAATTCTCATTGTTGGAAGAAAATGGCAAACTTACAAGCATTATATCAAAATTATTAGGCTAAACCGTCTCATTTATTTTTTAATCGGACTCAACTTTTTTAAAACAATAAAAAAAACGGAAAAAAATATTGCCTTTAATACCCAAAGCGCGTTAAAAGAAATTTTATTAGGAAGTATCAACTTTCAAAATCTCATTTAAAATATTGATGGTAAAATTACAATTGAAAATTAGAAAGGATTAAATTATTTTCAATAAAAGTTTAAATATTTTACACTCACTTTTATTAAGACTATTAAAAAAATAAAAGAGAGAAATTAATTTTAACCATTGATTTTTTATATTTTAAAATAGGGAAAACTATTTTCATTGGAAGTAATTTCATACTTTCATAGTTCTAGGCCAAAATACTTAATTTATCCGAGTTTACAAGATATTTCTAAGTGTAAAATTTTAATATGTTCCCAACCAATAAATTACCAATTGGTAAAATTAGTTTTTATTTATTAGTCTTTGGTTGTTTGCTATTTTAATTCTAATAATAAATAAAATTCAATAGTAAAAAGGAAATGAGATTCATTGTAGAATTTCATATTTACAACTAAATTTATATCAATAACAGGCCAAGCTTTACTTTTAATTTCCGCGCCACTTACTTTTTTTTATTGAATTGCAAAGCAGGGATTTACATTACGACCAGTACTAGGAATTTCAATCCATGTTTTTTTTTGCGTTTGCTGTGTATTCAAAACCACAATCCATATCGGCGTACAAACAAGGTGTACAAAACACACACCCTGCACATGTAGCAAAAAAATTAATGAAATGCGAGCCATCAATTTGGCCAAACAAAGCAGAAAAAGCAAGCACCGTGTGCTGTGGTTTGGCCCTGTTCGTTTTTGAATAGCATTAATTTAAAATTCTGCTTATTAAATCGGAAACCGTCACTTTAATCAGGACCCTCTACTTTGTGCGCCTCATTTGCAACAGAAAAAGGGTGTCACTCTGCGGCTGAATATGAAATGAGGGGCGCCGGGAGATAATATCGGCTGATCTTTCCAAACATTCTTTTATCGGAGCGGGAAAAAAATTGGCGGAAAAGGAAAAAGAAGAAGTGCCGCCTGCATCAGCACGCTATGATGAAGATGGATGCGATTTGCAATAAATTCGATTAAGGGCCGTTCTTTGTAGTCACACGCAGCACCATCTCTCCCGATTTTTTCTTGTTTCACGTAATAGAGGAAAGGAAAGGAACGAACACTCGTGGGAGTATTTTGCTGGCATTTTTCCACGACGAGCCAGAGCGAGTCAATTGATAAAAGTGTCCTTCTCTCGTGCAGCTCAATTCAGCGCTCGACGCGATACTTTAAATCCCTGCTTTTCTCTTTTATTTCTGCGGCAGCCACGCATGAATCAGAACGGTTTATTGGCGTATCTCTTCCTATTTATTTTTTAACGCGGGCTTTTTGCATTTTCACAGCAGCGACGGTGGCATTAGGGGGATTAAACCGCTTTTGTGTATTCGTCCGTCCGCTTATATGTTTTATTCAAAACAAACAAGCTGCCGTGGAAAAATGGAAAAAATGTGTTTGGCTGGCAAATGTTAAAAATACGAGACAGCAGAGAGATTGCCTTGGCCGAGATAGACAGACATGCACCTGCTGGATCAGTTTTGTAATCGAATGATGCGATATTTTCCCATCCCCATGCAGCGCAGTGAAATGGATTTCGCTTCTCATCTGCATACTTGACTAACTCGTCCACAAAGTGCGCGCTTATTATGTTAAATCAATATGTGCACAGAGTTTCAATTCAGTCTGTCGATTTCGCATGCAAATAATACTGCTCGTGCAAAAAGTGTTACGTGCCAACAGAGAATTCATTTTATTATTTTACTCTTTCTAGGAGAGCTACCGAACTAGCCGATTGCTGAAAAATTGGTTTTATTGATTTATTTTTGTTTTTGGTCATGAAACATTGGAAAAAGTCAGTGTTACCTAACAACAAGGAATTTTAGTTCATGTTTATATATCATTTTAAATAATTTATAAAATTAAAATTTTATATTTTTTTATTTTATACATTATTTTTAATATTAAAATTAATATAAAAACTAGTGTTAATGACTTTTAGAACTCATTTTTAGCTGGGTTTTTTCCAAGTTTTTAAAAATTCTTTACTTACTCTGTTCATTTTAAAATTTTAAATAAATAATTTCACAAACCACACTTCAGTATAATACAAAACGTTTTCTTTTAAGTAATTTTTTAATGGTTCTTGTTCATGAATTCTTATCAAACGATACTTGCAATGTATGTGATAGTTTGATGATTTTAATTAATAATGAAAGTCTAAATTATGACACAAGGAAAGACGAATTCGATATCACACAGGCTAGATTTATAGAACGAGGATCCTTGTCAAATAAACTAGTTTTAATTCTGCCCCTCAGGGATTGTATTCGCTTTTTTCTTGTTTTCACAGAAACGCTTTTGTAGCAAAGCCGCGGCTCTCGTCCCGACTGTCTCCAAAATTAATTAGAATCCTCTCTTTCAAACAAAGCCGCTCGGCATCAGTAAATCTACGTCGACGCTAAAAATAATTAATTAAATAGATTCGCTGATGGAAAAGCGATGTAACGCTGCTTTAATGGCTCCACTCCATGGGGGATTATAGTGCTGGCCGCGTAATCGCACCGATTTAATTGAGTTTTGATCCCTTTTTACAACACAGCGGCCTGATTTCATTATGCATTTGATGTGTGCCCGGCTACGTGAAATTGTGTACTTGTGTACACATGTATGCAAAGCCTATATGCATATTGTAACAAGTAAGGCGCACGAGGTATGTTTTTGACGAGCAAAACACCGATTTTTGTGTGTTAAAATTGGCACGAAAGTTGGCGAAATTTAGTCCTGCTTTTTCTTGATTTGACGAATATAAGGAAGTTTCAATAAAATTATTATAGATCCGCTGAAACAGCTGAGCTCATCATTATCAGAAGACTGTGAGAATTTTGATGGCCGAATATAAACTTCTGCTGTAGCTACTAAATATGCAGGTCAAGAAGTTTCACGTGAATATTTAATTTGGATTATTTTGGAAACTTATTATTTATTTTTGTACTTACCGGCAACCACGTGATTTGCGCTGTTTTTACTGTACCCGGAATATTATTGCGTCAAGAACGATATAAATAGTTATTATTTTATTATTTATATAGAAAAATGGGAACAGCTCCAAATCCATCAATAATCAGCACTTGACATGC